GGTAAAGCCATTGAAATTCCAAAAAGTGCAAGAACTTATACCGCAACAGAAAGAAAATAGACTCAAATGAGCTAAAGAGTTGCTTCGCTTGGCCGAAAGCGGTGAACTGCAGAATTTGGTTTTCTCCGCTCAGAAAACATTCGTTGTCCAGCAGTTTGTAAACAAACAAAATGATCGTGTTTTTATTGGGCAAGGTTTTGTAACAAATGATCGTGTTTACTTGCCCAAGAGGTCAGTTGCAAAAGTGCACCTTCGATTGGCCACCAGAACTCAAGCACTGGCCAAATTGATGGTGTGGACCGCCATAACAGCCGATGGTCGCTCTCCGTTCGCATTAATCGACAAATAAATGCCGAATATTATCCCGAACATATTCTGGAGGGTGTATTAAAGCCTTGGAACGCAAACATTTTAGTCGCAGACCTTGGACATTCCATAAGAACTCAGCACCATCGCACTCAGCACGCGCCACCCAAGAATGGTTACAAAATGAGGTTCCTCGCTTTATTTCCAGCGAACAATGGCCACCAAAATCTCCGGATACCAATCCGTTGTCTGGAGTATTTTGGAAAGCAAGGTTGGCACTAAAAAATGCCAAAGTGTCGATCACCTCAAGCAAGCGCTTCGCCGGGAATGGGCCAAAATACCGCAGAGCTACATTCGGGCAGCATGTGATGGTTTCAATGGCCGTTTGAAGGCCATAATACGTGCCAAAGGTGAGCAATTCAAACAAATCTAAACTAATTCTAAAATTTGATGTTATTTCCGACATTTTTTGCTTTCATTCAATAAAATTAAAAAAAAATGTAAAAATTATTTCGTTTGACTTTGTTGCGTTTTTTTTTATCTCACCCTATATCCAAATCTGAACCGATCTATATAAAATTTAGCAGAGGTATTTCTATTCTGTATCTGTAGTATTTTACGTGTGTGAAGGAGTAAAATACAAAATCTGATGAAACATATATTTGGGACCTATAGCTACATCTTAACCGATTTTCACCAAATTTGACACACTTTCTTCCAAGCAAAATTCGTTCGTATGTGCCAAAATCCATTCAATTCGGGTTTTTAATCAAAATCGAACAATATGGGGAGCTATATCCACATCTGAAATGATCTCGATAAAATTTGGCAAAAGCATTTCTGAGATGTATTTGATATATTTTTCCGAGTATTGTTATCACGGAGTGCATTTTACGGGTGTGGAGGAGACATTTAACAAACCGGATGAAGAATATATATGGAAGCTATAGCTATATTTGAACCGATTTCCACCAATGTTGACACACTTGTTTCAATCTGGCTGTATGTGCCAAATTTCATCCTATTTGGACTAATATTACAAATTTGGTGCACAATAAAAAGCAAATCGGACGAAGATATATATGTGGAAGCTATATCTAAATTTTTAACGATTATCTCCAATTGCAATAGCGTTCGTCCTTGGACCAAACAAATGTTTTAGACAAAAATTTATCTACTTCGTGCAATAAATGCGATCTGTGCTTTGTTTATAAAAATACATGGACAGACGGACGGACGAACGGACATGCATAAATCGACTCAGAATGTGATTCTATGCATATCATCAAAAAGAACTATGGGTCTAACTCACTTCCTTGTCTATGTTACAAATGCAAAAAGGCATAATACCCTGGCCACAGTGAGGTGTAGGGTGTAATTATACGGGTAATATCGGGGACGTTTAAGGGGGATTTTATTGAAAATGTTTGCAACTTTTTACAAAATAGGGGTGTCTGTAGCCGATAAGCTACTACAAGTTGTAGACAAATTTTGGGGATAACGAGCTAAAATTAAAAATTAGAATGCTTTGAATTTAGAACCTCGGTTATGAGGAAAACCTCAGTTATGAGGAAGATCTTATAAAAATTTCATATTTATTGAGAGGAAGTAATCTGCTCTACCACAGAATATGAAATTGTACCTTTTTTTGATTGGGAATTGGGGCCAGGAGTTCTAAGATTTTCTATTTCTGAATTTTTGATCGGAAAAGGATAGTGTGAACGCTTTCACAATTTTCTTATTAAGTAAAATAACGTATTGTGACATATTTCCAAATTTCTTAGAATATTCTCTTTCCCAGCATTACAATTACAGGTCATTTGAATTTTCTATTAAATATTTATTTTTCATTGAAAATGTTCGTTCTTTGCAACGTTTGCCTGGTCTATTTAACTTCCTGGTGTGCCACGCGTAACAATTTGTCGGAGCATTTCATGTGAATAAGTCTGGCTGATATTCGCATGTGCTTTATTTCTCGGGCAAGGTTTTGAAGCAATTGAAAAATCGATACATTTAACACATTTCAAGTGTTTTCATAATTCGTAGAGGTTTTGATTTGCCTGCTTAAGAACACAAATGAAAAGTGAATTACTGGGTCAATATTCTTCAGAAGTGGAATTTTAAGTAGAATAGACTATTTTGGACTTTTTTCTCGTCACTTGCAAACTGACACGGAAGACTGCATATTAAACAAAGCAGTAAGACCGGCTGGGCCAAACTTTTAATACCCTCCACCATTTTGAAGGAACTTGAAAAATTAAAAAAAAAAATCCGTAGAAAAATACCTCTCAAATGAAACCCCTTATATGGGAGCTATACGAAGACGTGTTCCTTCATAAGTAATTTTTAGTACCCATTACGAACTTCAATTACGAAATTTGAAACAATTCTGGTGAATAATGCCGCTAAAATCATCAAAATACCGAATATTGGCAGGTACCATTATATTACGAACTTAAACAACGAAATTTGAAATAATTCCGGTAACAAATATCGCTAAAATCATGAGAATACCGAATATTGGGAGGTAACTTTATATGGGGGATATATGAGTTTTTTTAGCCTTCTATCTCAATTCGTTCTAAAGATAGCGTGATTACAACAGGCAGACTGACAGACAGACGGAAATCGCTAAATCTACTTAGAATTTTACGCTGATTTTACGTTAACCTCATTGAAAACTGTTTACCATCTCTGATTTGTGGATTTATGAATACGCAATACATTCATGAATATTCATTTTACATTAAGATGATATCAAAATGTGTAATTTCGGAAAATGTAAACGTACGATTGAACAAAAGGTAGGGATAAGTAGGTCGAATTTCAATTAACGGTCTTTTGGTAATGAATAATCCAAAAGTCGAAAATCGGCTTTTGCATGTGGTAAAAATCGCAAACACGACCATTCGTCATTGATTTTGGGATCATCGATTTTTGATCGGTTGAGTTTTGATGCTCATTTATTTAAATAATAGAAATTAACTTTTCATAAAAGTTCAAATCTAAAAACGATATTGACTTTGATTTTGAAAGACAAAGTCGATTTTTAGGTAATTGGACAAAATTGAAAGCTCGGACAGTCAAGTTTTTAGGAGAAGGCAAAAATCGAATTTCGACTACGTATGCCTATTATGTTCTCTGTAAAACAGTTTCCTAAGCGCGATTTCGACAATTCGAGCTTCGAACGAGAACACAGCAATTTTTTGGCACCAGTAGTGGATTTTCTAATACTACGTTCACATAGAAAATTATTCGCTAGTCATATAAATAATAGCTGATGAACAGAAAACTGAATTCTGAAAAACAAATGTCACAAAAAAATCAAAAAAAAAAAGAAGAAAATATGTAATCATACCCACCACCTTGGAAAGGAGGGTATATTAACTTTGGCATTCCGTTTGTAACATCCTTAAATATTCGTCGTAGACCCCATAAAGTATATATATTCATAATCAGCATAAAATTCTAAGTCGATTTAACGATGTCCGTCTGTCTGTTTGTCTGTCCGTCTGTCTGTTGAAATCACGATACCACATTATTTGACGTAGAACGCCAAAATTTAGCAGAGCAATTTGTATTGTATCTAGTATGGTTGATATGATAATGATATATAATGAGATATATCGGTTCACGTTCTGGTACAGTCCCCATATAACGGTACCTCCCGATATTCGGTATTTTGATGATTTATGCCACATTTTTTCACGGATTTGTCTGAAAACTGTTATTTGTAGGTCATAATGGGTTCTAGCTCCTTTGGCGAAACAATCAGTTGTTTGGCCCAAGGACGAACCCGATTGAAATTGGAGATAATCGGTCACCAAACGTGTAATATCAGTCCGTGTGTGCCAAATTTGATCGAAATCGGTTCAGATATAGCTATAGCTCCCATATATATTGTTCATCCGATTTGTTATTTTTGTCCTCTGCAGCCGTAATATGCACTCTGTAACAAGAATATTTGGGGAAATACATCAAATACAGCTCAGAAATACATTTGCTAAATTTTATCGAGATCGGTTCAGATTTGGATATAGCTCCGACATATAACTTAGTCCGATTTACCTTTGATTGTGCACCAAATGTCTAATATTAGCCCAAATGGAATGAAATTTGGCACTTGCGACCGAATTGAGTCTAGAAGCTAGTATGTCTAATTTGTTGAAGATCGGTTCAGATATAGCTATAGCTCCTATATATACTGTTCATCCGATTTGTTATATTTGTTACCCACAGCCGTAATATGCACTCCGTAACAACGATATTCAAGGAAATATATCAAATACAGCTCAGAAATATCTTTGCCAAATTTTATCGAGATCGGTTCCGATTTGGTCATAGCTCCCATATATATTTTTTCCGATTTAAAATTAATTGTGCACCAAATGGGCAATACAAGTTCGAATTTAAAAGATACAAATGCTTCGGCATATTTAGTCCTTTGAACTTTAAATTATAATTATAATCATAGCGTGTATGATTGAATTCTCCCATAAAAACTTTTAATTGTTATGCGCAGCTCTACTAAATTAGCAAAGTGGTGTAGGGTATCATAAAATCGGCCCCGTCCGACTTTAGGACTTTCTTTACTGGTTTAAAATTGTATTTTACTTAATGGTGGAGCGTATTAAAATTTCGGCCCGGCCGACGATCGTCTTCCATCAATGAAAATCACACATCTCAGTCCCTGACAATTTTTCTGCATTCATTTTTTTTTATTTTCGTTACAAATTAGTAAATTTATTTATTTCACTATTTTGCACTCTCAACATAGACCAGTGTCTCCAAATAGCCATACCAATCCTTGGCATATACTGTGGTACGTGTAATATAGTAGCCTTCCATCATATAACTGGGTAACTTTTCAGTGTCTATGGTACATTCATTTAAGACCACCCGGCGCTTGGTCAACGGACCCACATAGTTCCCTTCAAAATATGGGGCATTCTCACAACACTTCTGAGCGTTTTCCATCACAACATTTTTATAGAACACATTGAAGACGGTGGGTAGAGTTTCATTGTCAATTTTCATTGGCAAGGTGGTGTAGGGACCCGACCTGAATGCGCTACGCTTAACAATGAGCTCTACCCGAACATCCTCGTCGTATATGTCAACTTTTGCTTCTATGAAGCCGCTGCAACCATAACGACCGCGATCTATGCGCTTGGCATTCAACTCTATGTCTGCTATGGAGGCATTACTGGTAAAATAACCCACTTTAATCAGTTCAAAGTCCCAAAACTGAAATTATTCAGGAAATAAATTATAATTTGCCAATCCCAACAATGTGAAATGATTGTTTATCCTTACTTGCTTGGAAAGACTGGATACGCTGAATATTACGAGCAGAATGCAAATGTTCAGTAGATAATCCATGGTGGAAATTGAACACCGTAATACACTGTCATTCCAATTGGGAGCTTGTTTTATAAGCTCAACGCAAAACAATAAATTGTTTGTTTAATTACTAATCTCTATTTGTTATCTTTTGTTTTAATTTGAATTTAAATCTAAATCGCAGACGATCTCTGATAATATTGAAAAATATGTTTTTAGTTTTAATTCATCTGTGACGATATCCGTTTTGGTAAATGTATGATCGACTGCAGTCTATTAGGATAAATTACACTGGTAAAATCGGGCAGACTAAAAGCCGTTTCTGAACCCGATAAACTACTAAAACTTGTAGACAAAATGTAAAATCAACAAACCCGTAAGGAAAAGTCAAAAGTCGGACGGGGACGACTATATGATACCCTACACCACTATGCATATTAAGTAGAGCTCCTGTAACAAAAGAATTCATTTGAAGTAGATCATACCACCTTATCAACATTTGGCTTTAGAGCAGTTATAGTTTGGTTTCAGAGGGAACTAATTATGTGGGAGACATATCCGATTCTGAATCGATTTTCACTAAATTTCACTTCGAGAAAAATTATATTAAAACATATACATATCGATTTCCATAAAATGGATACATACGTCTCGAAATTCGCTTCATTCGATCCGATCTCGATAACATTTGGCAAAGGTATTTCCGAGCTCTATAAGATATTTGGAACCAAATATCATTTTTTTAATGAATATTACAAATGTGAGGGAACACCAAATCGGATGAAACATAAATATCTTCAAAATCCCTAAGAATTGAAGATAACTCAAATTTTGATCGAAAAAGGAAAGTGTGAACGCTTTGACCATTTTCTTATTAAATAAAATACCGCATTGTGATATCTTTCCAAATTTCTAAGAATATTCTCTTTCCCAGCATTACAATTACATTTCATTTGATTTTTCTATTAAATATTTATTTTTCAATGAACATTTTCATTTGTTGCAACGCTTGCCAGGTCTCTTTAACTTCCTTATATGCCACGCGTAACAATTTGATGTAACGCTTCACGAGAATAAGTCTAACTAATATTCGCATGTGTTTTATTTCTTGGGTAAGGTTTTTAATATTCGAAGCAATCGAAAAATCGATACATTTAACACATTTCAAGTGTTTTCATAATTCGTAGAGGTTTTGATTTGTCTGCTTCAGAATACAAATGAAAAGTGAATTACTGGGTCAATATTCTGCAGAAGTGGAATTTTAAATAGAATTGAATTGACTCTTTGGGGCTTTTTTCTCATCACTTGCAAACTGACACGGAAGACTTCATATTAAAAGAGGGCATAAAATATCGAAGATGTAGTTCTCTTCCATGGTAGAATTATGAAAGTTGGATCTTTTCAAAAAAACATATCCTGCTCTGCAATTTTCTGTATCTTACTGTGTCAAATACAGCTTCATTAGAAAAAGTTTCCCATCTCTGATTTGTGGATTCATGAATATGCATGTTTTGCCAATAATGCCATGTTTACGTTAGAACTTTTTGTAGGGTTAACCTTCTTTGAGAGGATTTATTTGAAGTAAAAGTAATGGATATGACAATTTAAATCCAAATCCAGTGGGTTAACCCTCATATATATAAACGTACTATAAGATGTTATCAAACGTATAATTTTGAAAACAAAAAAAATTAAAACGTGCAATTAAACCGGCTTCAGTTTTGATACTCATTTATTTAAATAATGGCCATAAATTCTTGATAAAAGTTCCTCTTGTCCAGCACCTGCAAGATTCTGCTAGTTCTGCAATTTTCTTCGATATAATTAAGGAAAAATTGGTTATCGTAGTAAAAACTTTTACATTCTTGAAGTTTTGGAAAAGACCAGCTTCAAACCATAAAATCTAAAATCGATAACGAAGGGACCTAAATAAATAAAATATATATATTGCGACGTGGTAGGTTTGGACTATATCGACTACTTCCTTCACTTTATATGAGATATGTGATAATTTTTAGAAAATTATAAACTGTACGTGAGGTATCAGATATAGTGGACAGAAGTATGCCATTTTCACACATTATCTAATACAGACAGAAATATTGGAATATGCCAAATTACTATAAAATCGAACATTTATATCCAATTTTAGGCGAAATCATAAATTCCACATTCATATCAAATTTTTGCTTAAGAGAAATATTTAGAAATAGCAGGTTATAGAGAATCGCTGACTTGTCTCGCAAGTTATGACAGACATAAATATTGAAAATTGTCACCCTTTGTGGGTGAGGTGCCAGTTCGCCGATATATCCCATCATCATAACATATCTTGTTGCAGTAGAAATAATGGGATGTGTGCAATTTGCAGAGAACAGGATGCTTATTTCGAATTTTATGATCGTTTTGATTACTCAAAATGTTGACACTTTGTGGGGGAGGTATCAGTAGGAATAGTCCGGTCTCCACCATCTTTATAGCAGATCTTGCGTTGATAAAAATATTGAGATGGGTCTAGTCCGAATGGAATCGGATGTTAACTTCACGTTTTATGAGCTTCATGGGTATTCAAAATTTTGACCCTTTATGGGTATGGATCGATATTTCCCATCTTCACAACTGATCTTGTGTTAGTAGAAACAATGGGATGTATGAACCTGATACTTATTTCGCGTTTTATGACATTCATGGATATTCAAAATGTTGACCCTTTGTAGGGGAGGTACCAGAAGGAATGGTCTGATCTCTACAGTTTTTATAACAGATCCTGTTTTGATGGTAATATTTGGATGTGCCAAGTCTAAATGGAATCGGATGTTAATTTCGCGTTTTTCAAGCTTAATGAATATTCAAAATTTCGACATTTTGTGGGGGAGGTACCGGAAGGAGTGGACCGATATATATTAACATATTAACCCCAGACCTTAGGTTAAGGAGGTACTTGATGGAGTGGACCGATATTGTCCATTTTCCCAGCTGATCTAGCACTGAAAATTTGGAATTGCAAAGTTGGAGTAAAATCGGATTATTGCTTCTCTATCTGTGCATAAAATATATTTTTTGAAAACGTCGACCTTTTTGGGAGAGGTACCATAAGGAGTAGACCGGTATAATTCATCTTATCACTAGACCTCGGGTATCAGAAGGAGTAGTACCGATTTCGGACCAAATCGGATGCTCCCTTCGAGAGTTATCGTGCGCTCCAGCCAGTCAGACAGATAGACGGACGGGCATCGCTAGATCGACGCCAAATGTCCTGAAACGGATTTGTTCCAAAGAGACCTAGGGTCTAAAACCATTATTTCGACTAGGCATGTTTTGACCGTAACAAATGATATATACCCTCTCTAGCCATATGACTGAGGGTATAAAATATTGACCCTTTTTGGAGGAAGTACTTGATGGAGTGGCCGATATTGTCCTTGCACCTGATCTAGCACTAAGAACAATATTGGGATTTGCATCTTTTCTATGAGGTAAATTGTTTTTTTTTTTTTGAAAATGTAGACTTTTTGTGGGGGAAGTACAAGAGTGAACCGGTATTGCCCATCTACGAACTTGAGCTAAGTTTGATAGAAAGTTTGCATCAAATCGGATATTGCCTACGAGAATTATCGTGTGCACCAACCAGCCGGAAAGACAGACTGCTGGACAACCAGAGATCGACTCCAAATATCCTGAAACTGATTTGGCTCAAATAGACCTGGAGTCTAAAACTGTTACTTCCATTAGGCACGTTTAGGCCTTATCAAATTATATATACCCTCGGTAGCCATATAGCCGAGTTTATTAAAAAAGGCGGGAACACAGTAATTCTTGACACCAATAGTGATATTGTAAAACTTTTTTTTTGATTTGAGGGAACGCCACTCTCCTTTTGTTATCACTGAAAATTCCACGCAACACCCTATTAAACCGTCATTCATTCCAACCAGTATAGCACAACACAAATAGTTGCCTATCGTTAATTGAAAAGAACCATCGAACGAAGAGAAGAAGAGCAGTTCATGATTGCTTTTTTATTCTGAACTTCATTCCATAGCGGCCCAATGATTTTTATGGTTTGGTTTGTTATTGTTGTACGAACATACATGGATATATACACATTTTCAGAGTTGAATGTCCCTGACTGGACTTGAGTGCCGAAGAACAACTATGCGGTATCTGCTATTCCTGTGCCAGCGTCGGCTACTATGAAGGACAAAAACCTTAAGGATATTGACCTTCCAGTTTCATTGCATGTATGTATGCTAGGTTGTTGTCTTAGTTTTTTTTCCCACGAATTCTTTCACAGTACGATACGCAGATCAATAATGATCAACAAAACGGCCAGGGCAATTTTTGTCTCTCAACGAAGGATTTAAATGGCAGTTGCTATGTCAAATTCCATGTAGTTGTTGTTTTTTTTTTTTTTTTTAATTCCATGCATTCTTCCTAACTTACCTTACAATTAATTAGATTCTTCTTCGAAACGAATTCCTTCCTTGCGAACGCTTCATTTCCATTACCGTTATTGTTTTTCGAACTATTTTTTCCGACTATTTGCCTGAAAACCTTTGCGAGAAATGATCCAGCGAGTGGTACTGCACAGATCAAACATCAAAAAAATGGCACTTTCCAAGAAAAGAAAAAAGGAGACTTTAAAACACCAAAAAAGATTTTGCGTTTATTCGCACTTCATCTTATCAGTTGGGGAGTGATAAAATAAAATCAAGTCTTTTGATATCCAACAATACATCGCCATCGACGTCAGAGAAACGTCAAAAGCGGAATGTTAGTTTTATGATTCCCTGCTTTTACGTCTTTCACAGCCCAAAACAAATAAGAAGGGGAAAAGGAAAAGTTGATGGATGTTCATTGCCGAGATAAAAACAGATTTGCAAATATTAGCAAACTAATCAGTCGACGGGAGACTGTCTCATGAATGTGACAGGGTTCACGCGGAGGTTCAATTACGTGTCTGTAATATTTTCATCATTTTTTGCATGTACCATATTTACTCTTAGACTGGCCGTATCGATGCAGTCCTTGTTCCACTTTTATTAGGGATACGAAGTCGAAAACAAACGTCGATTTTAATGGAGTGTTTTCA